TGTTTTATTGTTTAATGATGATATAATATCAGGTAATACCAGTAACCAAGGAGGGCGTCGTCCCGGACTCTAAAAAAAGTCTTTTGGGTTGCCAAAGAAAACAACATGGAGCAGATAAAAAAGGCCTTTTTAAGTATAAGTAGTATTATTTATTTTTTTATTATAATTAGTCAATTATTTTATTACTTTGGGTTTTATACCTTTTTTTTTTTGTTGTTCAAGTGCTCTAAGAAGTCCTTATGGTCTTATCACAGAAAAGTCCATTAGGACTTCTTAGGGGCATCTACGTGCTACGTTTACTACGCCGTTGGTTAATAAAATTAGAAAGATATTTTTTAATAAAGCTAAAAAATAAATTTTTTTTTATAAAAAAATACTAGTTTATTGGCAATTTTGCACATATCGTTCACCAAATTAGAATGGCGAGATCCATCTAAGATTCGATTGTCACAGGATTTGAAACGCATCCTTAATTATTGTTGAGCTGCAGTGTTATCTCCAAAAAAAAGCTTGGCATTTTTTTGAATTCAAAGAACCATCAGATTTTAAGTGTTGATATATGGAAGTCGCTTTGGGTTCTGACATAATCGGAATTTCGATAACTCCCACTAGTTGTCGTTTCCGCCTTTTAACCAGCTTCTTTGCCAAACTTTTTCAAAGTTATTATTAGTCTCCTTTTTTGTTTTTTCACGCAAAACTTTTCTAGCTTGTATTTTGTTCTTTTTATTTTGTGCCATTGTTTACTTATTTGTAAGCTCTATCAAAGTTTCTTCAGAAGTCATAATGTAACTTTTCATGAAACGCGTGTTTTTATTAGAAATATTTAGCTTTGACTCTGATACGGAAGCTTTGGGTTGGCCAACATATAAAGCATTTAAAATTGATGTCTTCAAATCCTCACAAGCAGTTGTGCAGCATGTTAAAGGAGGTATTTGTTTTAATGAGCTCAAAGAAGTTTGTGTGCTTGAACGTCTATGATTTTGTATAATTTCTGGTTTGTGGTGACTGGTATAGGCAATGTTGGTAAGGCTTGAGTACTTTCCGCAAAAATCGATCCAATAGCAAACTTTTCATTAGTCATTTTTTCCTGACACAAAGGAAAAATACATGTTGCTTTGAAGCCCATTGTCCACATTGAAGCACATTGTCGCTCAAGAAGAATTGGTCAATAAGCTGTTTGAGCAACCCAGGATATCTAGGTTTTGTGAGATCTTTAAAACCGTTTTGAATGAAATGTTTGTTTAGGATTCTGCGCCATTTACTTTTTACTGTCCTAAATACGCCTACATCAAGTGGCTGTAGCACGTAAGATATATGAACCGGTAGCTTAAAAATAATAATGTTCTCCTCTTTCCTTCTTAAAATACATACCCAAATTCATCATAAATACCTTTGGCCTTAAAATAAAACATGACCAGGCAAGAATCTGTCAAAAGCATCACAACAAACGAGTATTGTGACTGAAGCCTTTTTGTTGCTACTGCAACGTTTTTTAGGCCCTTTTGAACCTTTTCGACACACAACCTTAAATTTGCCTTGATCATATTGAAAACCAGATTCATCGCAATTAAAAAGGCGGAGCAGTTTAGTTGTGAATCCGTGTATATTGTACATAACAGACACTTGTGCAAACCTTGATTTAAGAAATAAAAAAAAACTATAAAGTAGGTTATTAAAATGCTATAAATTGAGCAGT